GGTCTAACGACGGACGTCTTGAGCATTCGTCAGTTTGATGATACCACCCAGCCAATCAAATATTTTGCAAATCTTACCTTTTTACTAGAATTTGTCTTCAAACTACGTAAGTAAACATCATGAGCTGCCTGTTGTAAGGATTGTATTAAAGGCATTCCTTTATCTAACTGCTGTTTAACAACTACACCACATCGCAGTAGGTCAGTTATAGTAGGCTTCTCGGTGTATGGTAGTTCCTGTTTAACACTGTCATGTACTGATATTAGCCAATGTTTGATGCTGTAACTACGTATACCGATACCCTCTAACATTGATAGTATGTCTAGTCTACTATATGTACAACCATCAACCTACAAATATACATATTAAGATGCTATTTAAACGCTATATTAGATCTATTGCTATCTGTTATCAGGGTGGGGCCACGTTCGACAATTTTACCTTGAGGAATACCATACTTACGATAAACTGGAATGAGACCCTGATGTTTTTCCCATGCAAATTCCCCTTAGTCTAAAGTACCTCAACTTTATATCTCATATGGGGACAGATTAGAGCACAATAGCTCAAGGTAAGGAAATTATGACCTTATCTGCTCAATAATTTGGCACAAATGGTGGTTGTTGGTTCTAATCTTTGTCAGTGTCTGAAGGTCTCATGGCCTTGAATAAACCATCTATCCCCAGTATCCCAGTCTGTAAATGTGTTCAATAGTCAGCAAAAGAACAGAATGAAATAGAAGTAAAACATACCTCTCCTGGTATATAAATTTCTACTCCTCTATTTCTCATAGCTCTAGATATCTCACCATATTTACTGTCCATAGCTAGAAACAATCTGGAAAAGAATATAGCCAAATATCATTTCTATAATAATCAAGATGAAAGATACAGGTCTAAAGGTATTTTACTGAAACATGATGATGTCTTCTCGAATTGAATTCGCTAAAAAAATTAGTTTAACTCCATTTGATGCTTGATGACATACAATTTGACATACAATTTGACATCTTGGCCAATGTCTTCATACTATATGGAACAGCAGTGGGTATATCATGCATAGTTTAAAATAGGTATTAATGACTTACCTGAAATTAGGGTGTGGTTTAATAGTGGGTATCTGTCCATCAATAACACCTCTTTCATTAACACTCAACACACCTCCTGGTTCTAATAACGCATTTAGTCTATCTAGAACACTGGCACTGAAATAATACACAATATTGTGATGAGAAATTTTGAACAATTTTTGGCATCCTACACAAAATATGGATGGATGGAACCAGAAATGAACACACAGTTAAAAGACCAATATGGCAGTTTGTGATTAGTAAAATATATTAAAATATAAAATAAAATATACTATGGAACAATAAGATAGCGATAGCGAACAAGTACCGTGAGGGAAAGTTGAAAAGAACTTTGAAAAGAACTTTATATTAAAATATAAAATAAAATATACTATGGAACAATAAGATATCACTATTATGTTTTATGCCAAGTTTAAGTATTTATGTGGCCTTCTGATTAATAGTACCAAAAATAGTAGTGTATAAAGTTATATTACCTGCAGAAGTTAACGTTATCTATCAATAACCAATG